GGGGTTTGAACCAAGGACCTGCTCGCTGAGAGGCAGCAGCTCTACCAGTTGCGCCACCGTGCTGCCCTGTTTAGATAATATTAACTGTAAAATGTTTTTGACTTCTGTTCTTTTAACGTTGTCCACAGCTGTAAACAAACAGACACTTATCCTGCAGGTTCAGTTAAGAGAGATTTCAGAGACAGTAGTTTTCAACATGTCAGAACAAAAATAATTATCAATACACTGATGATGGTTTAAAAAAAGTCTGACATTACTGATGGTTCTACAAGCTGTTGAATCTTGAAGTGGCCTCAGTTTTAGCACACCTTTTCCAGGTCTGCATTTTTATCCATACTTCCATCCATCCTCCATATTTGACTCACTTCTTCCATTTTGGGTCATGGGGATCGCCGGTGCCCATGTCCAACAATCACTGTGTGAGGGGCGAGGTACACCCTGGACAGGTTGCAAGTCCATCACAGGGACACATAGAGACAAACAACATCACACCTAGGGACAATTTAGAGTTACCCATCAGTCTAACATGCATGCTTTTGGTCTGTGGGAGGAAACCGGAGCACCTGGAGAAAACCCACGCATGCAAGAGTAAAACATGCAAACTCCACCCAGAAAGGCCCCCGGACCGGGATTTGAACCAGCAACCTTCTCGCTGAGACGTAGCAGCTTTACCAGTTGCGCCACCGTGCTGCTCTTTATCCATACTTATTTATGTTTATTTTTTATTATGTCCTGATATGTAAAACCCCACTGAATTGAAAGGAGGTACTTTATTTTTCACATGAATTCATTCCCAGCCTTCTCCTGTTTTCAAACCGACAACCTCTGTTGTTCTATTTGACAGGGGCTGAGTTAGGTACTTAATTTATTTATATTCAACTTCTCGCTAAAATCAACTGACAACAACAAATATATATTTACGTCTGCACGTTAACAAACTTTAAATTAAACATACACGCATCTGAAATTAAATGTTTTCATTGATGACTTCTACACAGAACCAGCTGATAGACTGTGTGACGTAGTGCTGCTTAAAGATGTGATTTTTTAAAATGGAAACGTATCACTGCAGTTAGTAGTGACAGAGAAAACTACAAGTAGAAAGTAAAGGGGAATCAGCTTTTGTGTACAGTTCATCTATGTGGGTTTGTATATGACAGTGCAATATGGTTAAAGATGCATTCAGGTTCTTTATGATCAGGAAATAAAAAATCAACATATAACTGAGCCTTAATTTTCTGAAACAAAGCTTATTTGTGAGAACATTAAAGAATCTGGAGCTGAAGCTTTTCTAAAAGCAGCACTGCAAGTAGAGGTGCTTCATAAATGTTTATGACTGACTGACATGTCAGACACTTCCTAGACTCTCAACTAAACTGTCATCAAATCATAAAAATCGCTCCATCACTGCCCACAGGAGACCATGTAATAAAAGCATCTGATAAAAAGTGACACCACCAAGCTGGCACTTCCTGTCACTGCTTTTTTAGTGCAGAGGATTTTTATTACAGCTACAGGCCACAAAGCCTTATCATTTCTTGCCTCAAAAACAAACTCAGTCTCAAAAACATCAATATTTGGAAATAAGTGAATGAATGATTTACCATTTTCCAAAGGAGGAAAATAGCTCGAGACTTTTTAAGGTTGTGTTGTATTTTCAAAACAGTTTGTTACCTTGAGCCAGGGGTGGTTTAGAGCCTCGTAGACGGTGATTCTCTCTGCTGGGTCCAGCATCAGCATACGTCTCACAAGGTCCTTGGCGCTCTCTGAAATCTGTGCCCACTGGCGAGGATTCAACTGCTCCAAAACACAAACACAGAGTTTACAGGCGTGCTCAAGATTCTGTCAAGTGTGCTGTCTATTCTAACATGTGATAACAGGAGGTGACTGCGAGGTAAACGCTAAATGGACTGTACTAATACAGCACCTTTCTATCTTATCAAGACACTCATAGGACTTTACACTACAACCTGTGTCCTCATGTACCCATTCATACAGCACTCTATACAAAGCTAACTGAACAAATCATTCTAAAGAGACTAATCAGAGCTTTATCACATTCACACAGTGATGGGACACACATCAGAGGCAATGAGGGGTTCAGTGTCTTGCCCAGGGACACTTCAACATGTGACTGCTGGTGGAATCGAACCTCCAACTCTTTCATTGGAGGACGACTGCTCTAACCACTCAGCCACAGCCGCCCGAGGTGCTGAGTGGTTAGAGAAACTGTCTTCTAATGCGAGAGTTATGTTATGTTGTTTATTTGTCAAATGCAGGTAAACACAAGGTCAACAATGCAATGAAATGTTCAGGATGAGAAGAACTGATTTGATGCACAAAAATATAAATAAATAAATAAATAAATAAAAATAAATAAATAAAGAAAGAAAGAAAGCACTAAAGCATGCTACAAGGATACAAAATAAAGTACCAAAAAGTGAAAAAGAAATATATATTTACAAGGTCTAAAAGAAACACAGTAAACAAAAACATAGCAGAATATTACAGTGCAAGTAGGATGAATTAGTATAAATAAGTATTTTACAGGTAGTAATATTGCTTAAATGCACATAATATATATTGTACATAACATGAAGTACACAGGTTGTGTGACAGGTTATTGCACAGGTAGTAACATTGAGATGAATTATGATGGTAAGGTAGTGACATACACGATACATACACAGCCACATAATGCAGCAGCAACAAACATATAAGTTGTCACAGATGTGGCTTGGTGCAATGTTATTGTCCATTGTTCAGTATTATTATCAAGAGTTCAGTAATCTGACAGTTTGTGGATAATAACTGTCTTTGAGTCTTTTCGTGTGGCAGCACGGTGGTGCAACTGGTAGAGCTGCTGCCTCTCAGCGAGCAGGTCCTTGGTTCAAATCCCGGTCTGGGGGCCTTTCTGGGTGGAGTTTGCATGTTCTCTCCGTGCATGCGTGGGTTTTCTCTGGGTACTCTGGTTTCCTCCCACAGACCAAAAACATGCATGTTAGGCTGATTGGTAACTCTAAATTGTCCCTAGGTGTGAGTGAGAGAGTGAATGGTTGTTTGTCTCGTTTGTCTCTGTGTGTCCCTGTGATGGACTTGCGACCTGTCCAGGGTGTACCCCGCCCCTCGCACAGTGATTGCTGGACATGGGCACCAGCGACCCCTGTGACCCAAAATGGAAGAAGTGGGTAAAAGATAATGGATGGATGGATGGAGTCTTTTCGTGCGCGATGGCTGACTCCTGTATCGTCTGCCTGAGGGTAGTAGATGGAAAAGTCCTTGTGCTGGGTGGGTGTGGTCCTTAATGATGCTGCGTGCTTTATGCAGACACCAGCTGTGGTAGATGTCCTGGATGGTGTGGAGACTGCTACCAGTGATGTCCTCTGCTGTTTACACCACCCTCTGTAGTGCTTTCTAACGGGTGCAGTTCCTGTCCCACCCTGTGATGCAGCCTGTCAGCAGGCTCTCAATGTTGCACCTATAAAAGTTAGTGAGGATGCTGGTGTTTGTACCAAACTTATTTAGTCTTCTTAAGAAGTAGAGTCTTTGTCAAGCTTTCTTGACCACAGTGTCTGTTTGTAAAGTCCAGGACAGATCCTCAGTAATGAACTTGAAGCTGCTGACCTGCTCCACCTCAGCGTTGTTTATGTAGATGGTGGGGTGCAGGCCTCCACGCTGTCTTGTCTTGTCTTGAAGGCCACTATCATCTCCTTCGTTTTGCTGACATTAAGAGAGAGGTTGTTTTCGAGAGAGGAGTTAGAGGTTTGATTCCTCCAGTTGTCAGCCACATGTCATAAGACATTGAACTCCTCATTGCCTCTGATGTGTGCCCCATCATAGTATGGATGTGATCTAAAGCTCTGTTTAGTCTCTATATAATGATTTATTCAGATTAGCTTTGTAGAGATGTAGCAGGTTGCTGTATGAATGCGTAAATAAGAACACCAATCATTTACCATTCTTTGGTGATGTGAGTTTGTATCTGATGGTAGAACTTAGGAGAAAAAAAATTCTGCAGTCATTGTTAAGCCTAGAAAACTGTAACTCTACATATTTATTTAGTCAAACAGGAGTGATGAGGAACAGAACAAAGACATAAAACAGAGTGATGCAAAGATCACACAGTTAACATGGTTTCTGAAACAGTCAACAGAAATGGTACAGTCACACCTCAACACAACCCCAAAGTTACCACGACGCTCCGAGATTGTGCTCACAGCTGATGAGCAGTTCCTCCTAGACTTTTTTTGGTCTTTGTCAAACCATTTTAACCCCATGAAACTTGTGCTGGTGTGAATTCAATTGGTTCACACTAGTTGTGTTTCACAGGACAGAAAGTCAACACTAAAAAATAACAACAGAGTTTTCTCACAACACTTTTAGTTTGGTGGCCAGGTCTGGTAACAATAGCTGGTGTCCAAATACAGTGCCACCCATTTTCACACAGATCAAGAGAAGAGAAACGAAGCTAAATTCACCATGGTGGTGGCTAATTACCGTCCCATCCACATTAATCCGGAAAATATTTTAAATAAAGATTTTCTGCTCCCTTTGTGCCTCTTACAAAAAACGTAATGTATTACTACACTGGCAAGCCAAACGTTTGGTGAAAAACAAATTAGATTGTTATAAACAGGTTTTGGTGTCAGATTAAGCTTCTATAACGTTGTCTGTATTTTAACTGTTTATCTGTGAACTTGTGATACAAACATCGTGTCAAGTGGTAGACGTGTTGTTCAGCACCTGCTTTTTTTTGTGTACATGTTGACCACAGTGTGGCACAGTTGGTAGAGCTACTGCCTCTCAGCGAGAAGGTCGCCGGTTCAAATCCCGGCCGGGGGCCTTTCTGGGTGGAGTTTGCATGTTCTCTCCGTGCATGTGTGGGTTTCCTCCGGGTACTCCAGTTTCCTCCCACAGACCAAAAACATACATATTACACTAATTGGTAACTCTAAATTGTCCCTAGGTGTGAGTGAGAAAGTGAATGGTTGTTTGTCTCGTTTGTCTCTATGTGTCCCTGTGTTGGACTGGAGACCTGTCCAGGTGTCCTCCGCCTCTCGCACAGTTATAGCTGGACATGGGCACCAGTGATCCCTGCGACCTAAAAAGGAAGAAGCGTGTAAAGATAATGGATGGATGTTTACCCCAGAGCTCTGTGCCGACTGTGCTCTAATCAGCAGCCAAGTAAACTAAATTCCAAGCGATGTCTAACGTTACCTGCCCACTTTTCAGTGATTCAATGAACCAGCTCCCCTCTCACCATTAGTTACTTTCAAACTAACAAACAAATAAAAAAAAATGCAACATGAATGTAACTTGTAATGCAACGCATTATAGAAACGTAGTATAGCAGAAAGTACAGGTATTTAATGTAAAATGTAATGAAGTAAAAGTCGAAAGTACCCACGTTTAACTCTACTTAAGTAAAGTACAGTTCCATGAAAAATGTACTTAAGTACAGTAATGAAATACTTGTATTTAGTTACATCCCACCACTGGACTTGAGACTTCTGCCTCAGTCTTTGTCTCTGACCAGGCAGCAAGCCAGTAGAATAGTTTATTCATTTATTTATTTATTGTTTCACTGATCTATAGATCATTGGCAGATTAAAAACTACCCAGTCTGAAGCAAAGATTTGGTTCCGTAAAAAAAGTCCCTAGAACCTCAGGTCAAACAGAAAGTTTGAAGAATGTTTATAGTTTCTCACATTTAGGTTTCATTCATTTCAATTCTTGATTCGAAAGATAAAAACCAAAGGAAGATGTCAAACATGTAGAGTGGTAATGCTCCATGGGAGAGTAGCTCTAATCCGGATCTACCAGGTGAACCAGTGGGTGAGGTTACTAGAGTTCTCAGATTCTGGTGGTTCAGTGATGAAAACCACTAACCTTGTATTTGCCTTTGCAAATGGCTTCAAACAATCGCTCCTTGGTGCCGTAAAATGGGAGGCACCCCGACAGCAGGATGAAGAGGATGACTCCGCAGCCCCACACATCCACGGGTTTACCGTAAGGTTCCCTCTTCACCACCTCTGGGGCCATAAAGTGAGGAGTTCCAACACGACCTGCAGTTACAAAGAGGTGCACAGGTAACTTAATGATGTAGATACAATGAAAACAGCCAACTCATGTAAACATTTACAGTACTGTGATACTTCTTGTTTCCATTGAAAATTCTAATTTACACACAGAAAAGTTAGAGTTTGTGAATTTACTTCCTCTTTTCAAACAACTGTGTCAAAATAAGATATGCCACAACACTACACGCACGTGCTCTTTGAAAAATGAAGGGAAATACACGGACTATAAATACGAAAGAAGAAACAACCCTTCATTGTTGGGTTTGCTTCTTCCTTTTATTACAGCACACATGAGAATATGTCATTTCCCAGGCCTTACTGTAATCTAAATAATGTAAATAATCTTAATGTGCTCTGTTCTATAGTTTTACTGTAATTCAGATTTTTTTAATTCAACATCTGTTTTATTGAATTTTTCATTTTTTCAAAGAAAAAACAAACAGCAAAGTTGGTAATGAAACATTTGCATACAAGCATTAGTGAAGACATTAGTAGATGGAATCAATCTGAATTGCATCATCTACATTATAATCCACACCAAAGAAAAGAAAATAATCCCACCCAATCACTGCCAAAAGGAAAGGGAAAAAAATAAAAAGTTAAATAGCCAAGAGACTGCATTGCCCCGAATGAGATGTGTTGTCAAAGAGACTGGAATAGATTCAGGAAAGGTCCCCAAACTTTCCCAAATTTACCCTCTTTCTGTTGGAGTGTGAACCTGATTTTCTGCAGCTTTAAACAGGACATGATGTCAGCCAACCACTGAGCGTGAGTGGGTGGAGACGGTTCCTTCCACCTGAGCAAAATGGCTCGTCTGGCCAGGAGAGAGGTGAACGATATTACGTGCTGTTGGTTTTTATTTAGGTTTGTCACGCCCTCTACAAGACCAAACAGAGCGATCAGTGGGTCAGGGATCAGACATGTATCTAGTACACGTGATAAAGTCTGAAAGATTTCCCACCAGTATTTGTTCAGAGATGAGCAAAACCAGAACATATGGGCGAGAGAGGCTTCAACATGTTTGCATCTCACACAGTATGGGCTAACATCAGGATACATAGAGGACAGTTTCAGTTTAGAGATGTGAGCTCTGTGCACCACTTTAAATTGTATTAGACAATTTCTAGCACAGAGAGAACTGGAGCTCACCAGTCTGAGTATTGAGGTCCAGGTGTCCTCTGAAATAGAGGAGCCAAGATCCTCTTCCCAAGCAGCTTTGATTTAATCTGAGGAAGCATGCTTCAAATCCAATAGTCTACTATAAATGAATGAAATAGAATGTTTTTTATTTGGGTCTAGAGAAAAAATAGTGCCAACAATATTGATATCTGTTAAAATGGAGAGGCTGGGCAAATGAAGTGCCGGCCAAATAAAGTGCCGTATTTGGAGATACCTAAAAAAAATTGGGCTGGGGAAGGCTACATTTTTCCCTTAGTTGTTGAAATGAAGCTAACATGTTATTGAGGAACAAGTCATTAAAGCATACTACACCCCTTCTCTGCCATTCTTTAAAAACAGAGTCCTGAGATGAGGGTTTGAAGAGTTGGTTAGACATGATGGGACTATAGAGAGAGAAACTAGAGAAATCAAAACATTTACAAAATTGTGCCTAGATTTTTAGTGAGTGTTTTACAACTGGGTTTATAATAGTTGTAAGTGGTGGAGCGGGAATGAGGATCCCAAAAAAGCCAGGGTGGACCATTTCCCAGAACACTGTGACTCCATCGCTACCCAGTCAGGGCAGTCAGGCCTGTCAGGCCTGTTGTAATAAAATGACCAGAATGCTAGACGGTGCAAATTTGCTGCCCAATAACAAAAATGGGTAATTCTGATTTTTTACAGCTGATATTGTTTGCAGCTGACAGGAGTTGCTGACTACAGTTTTCTTTGGGGAAGTACTTTGTAATTTAACTTTTTGCATCTGTATTCAAGATTTGAAGTTAGAATTCAACCCTTTTTATACATCTAATAAAGAATAATGTTGATTATAGTCCTAGTAAACATTTAAGCTTATTCAAACTGTGACAAATTTATAATTTATTTCTATTTTTGGTAGCATATGTTAACAAATGTATACACACACACACACACACACACACACACACATATATATATATATATATATATATATATATATATATATATATATATAAAAAGAATAAATGGACCACTGCGGAGTGGAGGGTGTCTGGCTGGTGGACTTCATGGTCTCATCTGTTTTTTGGAGATGATGTGGTTCTGTTTGCATAGAAACGACACCTGGACCTGCCATTCTGTGTTTGTCTTTTTCTCTTTCCTGTCCTCTCCAACCCCAGCAAGTCAAGGTAGATGGCCGCTTGTCCTGAACCTGGTTCTGCTGGAGGGTTCTTCTTGTTTAAAGGGAGTTTTTCCTTTCCACTGTTGCCTTTGTGCTTGCTCAGGGTGGGAGACTGCAACGAAGTGAAGATTCTATAAAATCTTCTGGCTTCTTTAGATAGGTAACTTTTACTAACTGGCATTTTGTAATGTATTTGAAAGTCTTTGTGCAGTTCTAAGATCACATGTGTTGTGAATCAGTACTATATAAATAAATACAGTTTAATTTACCATACCATACCATACCACTTTATTTATAAAGCACTTAAAACAGCAACAAGGCCAACCAAAGTGCTGTACAGACGAAACAACAGGTAACACACAAAGCAAAATACAAAATGAGGTAAATCAGAATATAGACAAAAAACGATGCAGATAATGACGACAAACCAGTGAGGAGGGTACAGGATCAAAACACAGATCATCTTGTGTTGAAAGCTATTGAATAGTAGTGAGTTTTTAAACGGGACTTGAAAACCGAGAGGGAGGGGGCCAGTCTGACAAGCAGAGGTAACTCATTCCAGAGTCTTGGTCCTGCTACAGAGAAGGCCCTGTCACCTTTGCGCTTAAGACGAGTTCCTGGAACTGTGAGGAGCAACTGGTCCGCTGACCTCAGGGAGCGTGGTGGGACATATGGTTGTAGCAAATCAGAGAGATGTGGGGGGCGACACTGTTCAGTGATTTGTAGACATACATGAGTATTTTGAACTGGATTTGAAAGTGAACCGGTAACCAGTGCAGTGAGGCCAAAACTGGTGTAATGTGCTCTCTTTTGCCTGTACTGGTTAAAAATCGGGCTGCTGCATTCTGGACCAGTTGTAGTCGTGCAATGGAGGTCTGACTGATACCAAACAGGAGTGAATTGCAGTAATCAAGCCTAGATGTAATGAATGCATGTATTACTGTCTCCAGGTTATTTTTGGACAATATGGGCTTCAGTTTAGACAGCCGCCTCAGTTGGAAGAAGCATGATTTAACAATCATGTTTACATGATTGTTAAGTTTCAGGGAAGGGTCCATTATCACTCCCAGATTAGCGACTCTTTGTTTTTCTGACAGGGTTAGAGCGGAAAGGTCGATGCAGTGGTTTGTGATCGTGTCGTTGGGAGGGAACAACATGACTTCAGGCTTCTTTTCATTGAAACTTAAGAAATTTAAAGCCATCCAGTCCCTGATGTCAGCCAGGCAGTTGAGCAGCAGTTGAATAGAGCATGTACCATTGTGTCTTAGGGAGAAGTAAATTTGACAGTCATCGGCATAGAAGTGGAAGGGCATGTTGTGTTTCCGGAAAATAGCACCAAGCGGCAGCAGGTATAAAGAGAATAGGAGGGGACCAAGTATGGACCCCTGCGGAACCCCCCATTTAAGCTCTGCCTCTGTGGAACTAAAATCCTTGATCGAGACACAAAAGGATCTGTCAGTGAGGTAAGATCTGAACCAATTGAGGGCTGATCCTGTGACGCCCACCCACTGCTCCAACCTAGCAATGAGGATCTCATGGTCGATGGTGTCAAAAGCGGCTGTGAGGTCCAACAGGACAAGCAGCACAGAATCACCGGTCTCTGTGAATCTGAAGATGTCGTTAAAGACCTTCAGCAGGGCAGTTTCAGTGCTGTGGAGAGGTTTAAAGCCAGATTGGAAAAGCTCTAAGATGGCGTGATCCTCCAGGAAGCACTTCAACTGGGACTCGACTATTTTCTCCAGTATTTTAGAAACAAATGGGAGTTTGGAGACAGGCCGGAATTTGGAAACGACAGAGGGGTCAAGGTTTGGTTTTTTCAGGCGAGGCTGGACAGCAGCATGTTTAAAGGATTTTGGCACCAAGCCAGTGGATAAACTACTGTTTACTATGGCAAGAATGGACGGACCTAGAGTAGGAAAAACCTCCTTTAGTAGTCGAGGGGGAACCACATCAAAGGGGGAGCCAGAAGGTTTCAAGCTGCACATGACCTGCTCTAGAGAAGATAGAGTGATGGGTTCAAAATGGTCAAAAGGAGCTACAGATTGAGGTGGGATGGATGGGTCATGAGTTGGAGGGGAAATGAGAGCTAGGGTGGTCGCAATTTTTTCCACAAAGAAATGTAGGAAGTTGTCGCACAGCTCAGTCGAGGCTTCCAGAGGTGATGGTTCAGTGAGGTGGAGAACAGAGTTTAGGGTGGAGAAGAGGACACGTGGGTTGTGAGAGTTTGAGGTAATTATATCAGAGAAGAATTTTGATTTAGCAGCTTTTACTGTTTTCTGATAACAGCGCCAACTCTCTTTAAGTATTTGAAAAGAGACCTGCAGCCTGTCTTTCCTCCACTTTCGTTCCGCCCTCCTACATTGCTGCCTAGCGGCCTTGGTGACGTCACTCAACCAAGGTTCTGCTTTGAGTTTTGATTTTTTGGTTTTAACAGGTGCAACATGATCCAGAGTCTTTAAGCAGACAGAGTTGAACTGGGATGTCAGCTCCTCAGTGGTGGTGAGAAACACTGGGGGCTGAATGATCATTTCAGAGTTATAAACATCTGTGAAATGTGCGGCAGTGAAGTGGTTAATGGTCCGAGTGCCAAGTGCAGGAATGCACGACTTAGGATTTAGATGGGGGAGGGTGAACTCAAACCGGACTGGCATGTGGTCTGAAAAAACATTATCACCAATAACAAGATTATTAACAGTCATATCATGAGTTAAAACAAGGTCCAGTGTATGTCCACACTCTTGGGTGGGACCGTTTACATGCTGAGTTAAATTAAATGAGTCCAAAAAATCTAAAAAGTCCTTAAAACCAAGGGCTTCTCAGGACAGCACACGTGCAAATTAAAGTCCCCAAAAATGAAAACATGATTATATTTTGGTGTGATTTAAGCCAAGAAGTTAGAAAACTCATTTATGAAATCCTTAGACTGAGGTGGGCGGTAGACAAGTGCAAATAACGTCGGAGGTGAATGTCCGAGTTCAAAGACGCTCAGCTCAAAGCTGGCGTGGGAAACTGGGATGGGCAGTTGTTTACAGTCAAAAGTTGATTTGAATATTGTTAATAATCCACCACCGTGGCGGCCTGATGGCCGCGGGGCGTTAAAACACAGACTGTTTGGTGGCAGTAATTCCGTCAAGGCGCTGGACTCATCTGGAGACATCCAAGTCTCTGTGATGCACAGAAAGTCCAGATTGTGCTCTTGAAAGTAATCCTTGAGGATAAAAGTTTTGTTGGTAACAGATCTTGCGTTGACCAAACACATCCGAATATTGTCCTGAAGTGGAGCTAGCAGCGGTAAAGTTAGCGCGTGCTAATGGCCGCAGGTTTTCAATAACAGCCCCTCCAGGTCGGTCCGGGCTGCGCAATGGCTGACAACTCCCGCTGGTTACCTGGTCCGGGCACGCGGGAAGCTGGAGACCATGACCGCCAGCTGAACAGGAAGATGCAGCGCGCAGAGCTTTCAGCTTCACCAGCTGACCAGCGCGTTTTCCCCGGCATCTGAAGCGAGATCTCCGGGCAGGCAGGTGAGGAGCCCAGCGGAGGTAAGCTGGCACGTCCAACAGCAGGGGGGGAGGAGGGGGGGTCCAGAGGTATGCTGATAATGGTCAAAATAAGCGACTTCAGTGACAGAAAAACGAAGATCCAAAAGTTGTTGTCTGTCATACACCAGCAGAGAGTTGATGTCACAGATGTGAAATGCAAAAAACAAAAATAATCCGAACACCATCAACAGAGGTGGATTGCAAGCCATGTACACGGGCGCCATCTTGGATAAAGTCGTATGAATAAATTTGTATGGAGAATTTGAAAGAGCGCAACAAACATTTAGTTGGAAGAGTCACGGGAGGCGGGCAGCACGGTGGCGCAACTGGTAGAGCTGCTGCCTCTCAGCGAGCAGGTCCTTGGTTCAAACCCCGGTCAAGGGGCCTTTCTGGGTGGAGTTTGCATGTTCTCTCCGTGCATGCGTGGGTTTTCTCTGGGTGCTCCGGTTTCCTCCCACAGTCCAAAAACATGCATGTTAGGCTGATTGGTAACTCTAAATTGTCCCTAGAAATGAGTGAGAGAGTGAATGGTTGTTTGTCTCGTTTGTCTCTATGTGGCCCTGTGATGGACTTGCGACCTGTCCAGGGTGTACCCCGCCCCTCGCACAGTGATTGCTGGACATGGGCACCAGCGACCCCCGTGACCCAAAATGGAATAAGCGGGTAAAGATAATGGATGGATGGATGGAGTCACGGGAGGCAAGAACTAATAGAAAAGAGCAAACTAATTTATGCAGCACAAGTTGAAAAAATAGTAGATCATGGTCAAATGGAGCACATTACTCCAGTTTTGGCCTCACTGCACTGGGTACCGGTTCTCCTTCAAATCCAGTTCAAAATACTCCTGTATGTCTACAAATCGCTGAACAGTTTCACCCCCCCGATATCTCTCTGATCTGCTACAGTCGTATGTCCCGCCACGTTCCCTGAGGTCAGCGGACCAGTTGCTCCTCACAGTTCCAGGAACTTTTCTTAAGCGCAGAGGTGACAGGGCCTTCTCTGTAGCAGGACCAAGACTTTGGAACGAGTTACCTCTGCTTGTCAGACAGGCCCCCTCCCTCTCGGTTTTCAAGTCCCGTTTAAAAACCCACTACTATTCAGTAGCTTTCAACACCAGAGGATCTGTGTTGTGAACCTGTACGCTCCACACTGGTTTGTTGTCATATTTATTATCTGCATCATTTTTAAGTCTATATTCTGATTTACCTCATTTTGTAAATTGCTTTGTGTGTTGCCTGTTTTTCTGTCTGTACAGCACTTTGGTTGGCCTTGTAGCTGTTTTAAGTGCTCTATAAATAAAATGGTATGATATGGTAAGTTGACAATGGTGACATTAAGTGGCTTCTACTTCAGTGATAAAAAAGTTAATTTAATTATGTTGTTACATAATACTGAAAGTGCTAAATTTGCTTGGCCAATAAACATTAATTCAATTCAATTCAAAACACTTTATTAATCCTAAAGGGAAATTAATTGTTGTAACTCATCATCCTGGTTTCATTGAGAGTTGTTCTAGATGCTGATGGCTGTGGGCAGGAAGGATCTGCAGCAGCTCGAACCACAGCAGATCTGAAGAAACTGGCTGCAGATGCTGATCTGTCCTCCCGGACCCAGTGGGCCTCTTGGTCCTCCTGTGCAGCAGGACCATCTGAATGTTGGGCAGAACTCCTCCCTGAGCGATGGTCACTCCTATCAACAGCTTGTTGAGCTCCTCATCATTGCAGACAACCAGCTGCAGGTGTCGGGGGATGATCCTGGTCTTGTTGTCATGAGACACGTTCCCTGCCAGCTCCAGGATCTCAGCAGTCAGTCACTCGAGCACCTCTGCCAGGTAGATGGAGATGCATCCATGGCGCCTCCTTTACCTTAAAATTTAACATTTGGGATTTGGGGCTGTATTTTTTGAGCTTTGAAATGTTAATCAGCTGCTCCTGGTTGTAGAAAACCACCTTGTTGTCATGGTTACACTTCATAACAAATGTCCAAAAGTAAAAAGGTTTTAGTAAAAATCCTTTCAGCTGCACAACATGCAATACCAGAGGAAGTAATAATCCAACCACATCCATTTACATCCAGAAAAAGAGGAAATAAAGTTTCAAAAGTAATATCCCAGAATGAAAGTAACAGCTACTGCAACATGCAGCCACCCAATTCATGTAGTTTTAGGGAATACAATCAATCACAGTATTGCCAGTGTGAAAACAACTCCTAAAAGGCAAACTATCTCAATAGATATAAACCTGTGTAAAGGTCCCCTGTGCTCTGAAAGCACCCACCTCCCATCAGGTGAGCAATGTTCCCAAAAAGAGCTAAATGATTTCTGTTTTTTTTCTTTGTTCCTATTGTGTTCTTCACCAAGCTTGTGTTAGTTTCTCTTTGCAGTTTGTTGGTTTTCCATTTAACGGTTCCCCGAGGTTCATGCAACACAGCTGTAAAGCTGCAGCAAACAGGTCCAAAAGATTAGTTGTTTGATGTGTTTCTGAGGGTGAAGGTAAAGATTCCTCAGGCATAATTGCTGGCAAATATGTTTGTAATATGAAAAAAATTATGTCAAACATTTAAAAAAATGATTTTATTGAATGTCACATTCAGCCTGTATTTCTTTCTGTTGTGGTGATTGTGTGAAAGGTTTTTTGTGACAGCATTAACTTTGTATGTGCTCTTATCTGTTCAGTAGAGTGTTAGGCTTTAAAAACCTGTGGAAAACACTGATAAGCATGAGTTTACGACTTCCTAGTATAGTTGTGTATGTTTGACGACAGGTAATATTCCCAGGAAGAATATTTCAGAGGTGTTTTGCTCTCTGCCATGAATGAACATGTCAGTTATGGATGCTATCATTTTACTGCTGAACTGTTCAACTCAGGTCATGGAAGAGTAGAGACACTGCATCCTGTCAAAGCTGGAATTTTTGCACGTACAAAGTCTTATGGAAAACATGCAAAGTACCATCAGAGTCATTGTAGTTTGTACCATTCACTTAAAATGTATTCATATTTACACATAACCTCAGTTAACAAATTATAGTGGGAGAATTTGTAGCGTTGCAGTGATTACCTCCTGCCACCAGTCCCGATTCTCCCAGCTGGATCGCCACTCCGAACCCACCCAACTTGACCGGAGCGGAGTTCTCTTTGGATGCCAGCAGCACACAGTGAGGCTGAGAACGAGAGCACAAAACAGATGGTTGTGACTTCAGAGTCGACATTTGCTAATTAGAGAATGACACTTGTTTTAAAAAAAATGACATGTGTGAGACCCACCCAAACCATCTGCCATCATGACCACACAGAGGGATGATTACAGGGTGATATGGACTCTTGAGTATTTATGTTCTGGAGTCCCTCAAGTAAATTCACACCGTTCTCAGAACTCATGTATACACCGAGATGGTGTAGGGGCAGGACAGCCGACTCGGGACCTGAAGGTCCTGGGTTCGATCCCCGGTCATTGTACATCTCGTAGTGTCTCTGAGCAGGACACTCAATCCCAAATTGCTCCCCGGGCGCTTACATAGCTGCCCACTGCTCCACCTGGGTGTATCCCAGGTGCAATGGGTTAAATGCAGAGAACCAATTTCGTCTTTGTATGGGAACATACAATGATGACAATTTTTTTTTTTTTTTTCATTTAGCCTTTATTTATCCAGGTTAGTCTCATTGAGCCACGAGAACTCATTTTCAAGAGAGACCTGTTTAGGGAGCACATGGTGGGGGTTAAGGGCCTTGCTCATGGGCCCAGAGTGGGGCGAATGAGGGTGGGGGCAAGTGTGGGTGTTTCACCTACCC